TATATGGGCATATAACATCTGGAATGAAGATGTTGCCATTTTTCTCAAACCTGTCCAGAACTTCTAAAGCCATCGATGTATCTATTCTTCTCACTCTTGTGTAATCAATTGTGTGACCAGCAACATGCAATAGGTCTACAGGTTTTTCAGACCTGGTGGCTTGGTGGAGTGTTAAACCTAAAGCAACATGTTTTGGTGTGAGCTTGCGACCTTTTGAGATTGCATATACTATATCTTGAACAAGGCTTAAGACAGTAGTTTTTATATTATTGTCATCTGACTCTTCAAAATCATGGTCTATACCACCAAGGAGTACACGTAAAAACAGATAGAGGATCTCCGGAATGACCTTCTTAACATGAGCTTTGTCAGTACCTCCCCATCTAGCAGAATGGCCAGGAGTATCATGTGCATCCATCGTTTCAGGCGAGGATGATGATGGCTGAGGTGCCAGAAATCGACAACTGCTCAGACAACTGCAGTGTCTCAACATGACGTATGTTATCATCATTTTCACTTCCTGTTTGACAAAAAACGCATATTTTCCAGTTAACACATTGGCTTTTCCTCAATGATACCCTACGGTTTCCTTCATTGTTTTCAGATACACTGCTATCTTTGTCTCTTTTGTAACTAACCTATCTATTTTACTTCTAGATGTAAATGAAGAATAACATGAATTGTGATACACAATCTTTCTACTTGCCCAATCACTGTCTGTTACTTTATTTAAGGAGTTCAAAAGTTCTGAATGTTCTTCTAGTTCTTTGCGTTCCACTGCTGTTTCTTTTAATCTACTTATACCATTAGGTGTTGATTTTAAGGGCTCACAACGTGAAGTTTTTTCACTTTCTTGGTATCTTGACATAATGCACAGTGATCAAAGTTCAATTTATCTGTACCCTTTCTCTTCAGTATTGCAAGTGGGTCAATATTTCATCATTAAATCTGATTTCAATAAATAATATGGGAAGAGAACAATTCCAAATTAAAATCCTTCTTACACTGTGCATATATATATATATCTGACATAATTGTATTTTCATAGCTAAGACTTGTATAATGGTCTATGAAAGTTGTCTTATTAGCTTTTTCATGTAAGAAAACATATAATTAGACAACAAAAATTGTCAAAATTGGACCATGTTATGAATTTGACCCTTTCACGAAAAGTACCTTTCCACATGTTTGGCCATTTTGACGTAACGCAAAGTCAAACTATATATTTTTGAACTCTACTTGTTAAGACGAGTAAATTGATATAAATCTTAGTAGGATTGGACCATTTTTGAAGTTTGATCCAAAATTGGTGGTTTTTGGCCAAAAAATAATTTTCAATTTTGGCATCGCCCCTGACGTGAAACCTTACTATATAAGGACTCGATTTAACATAGATGCCTGCTTGTATCAAAAAATGCCGAAAGAAAATTTTTTTGAACACTTTTCTACCTTCTGCTGGCTGTCTGGTACACAAAGTTTGTAAAAAGTAATGTGGAACGATGCAAATTCAATGATATTTTGAAAACAAATCCCTTATATTAGAATGTAATATCATAGTCTTCCATAAAACTCGATGACTGGTGAATTGTCAAAGTTCAGTAAACAAGTTGTACGTTCTTTTCAAGTTGTCGCTGAGGATGTTCCATGTAGTTCAATTTCTTGTGAAAGTTTTCTTGAACTTCGTGTTCTTCATTTGGCGATGTATGGCGGTGTTTGCTTTGATTGATTCCTGGTGACGGGACAATATTTTTTTCATTATATTTGCATCGCATGGTTTTCGCTTGATCCTGGTTTCGACCTTCGTCTAGATTTCAAGTTGAAATAGATCACATGCCACATATATTCTTGTAGTAGTTATCTTCTCTAATGTAAAGTTGGGGAGTCACTCGCTTTGCATATAGATCCGTTAGCAGTTCCCATAACTGCTAATCTCAGATCTTTGGATTCTCTCACCATGCCACAGAGTTGTAAGCTTTTTTTCTGTTGTTACTTGTGGAAATCATTCAGGACACACAGTATAGTTGTAGTTATAACACACGCCATTTATTGTGAAGGATTCTATCAGGTAGATACAGTATAATATGTTGACATAAGTTTGTTGCTACGTGACAGCCTCATGGCTAGGTCTGGAGATACATGTTGTTGGATAACCACGACTGACCAAGATGACCGACCGACGACGAAGTCCGACGACCGAAAATGAAATCACTCCCGACTTTTTACAGGGAATGGGGCAATGATTAGTAAAGACATAATCTAGTATAATTTATAAGAGGAGTCTGAATTTGCTAATGGTATACGTAATTGTATATACAGTGATGTCATTGGATTTCGCGTGGCGGGGTGGCAAGGGGTTTCGGGTTGGTTGGACGGATGTGGTTCATCGTCCAGGGGGGAATAAGTGACGCTGTCTTGGTTGAATATGGGGTATGTTGCTTGGCTTTGAGTGTAATTGTTATGATAAGATTCAGGGGTGGATATAAAGAGACGAACTGGTGTACATTATAACAGATGACTTTATTGAAACTCCTGCCGTGATGTGTCAAAGCACCCACTTATATACACAAGTTTACATTCCTTGCATTTTGGCGGAAAGTGACTTTGGCCTTGTACATGACTGGGTAACAGGGTGACGAGCTGATAGGTAAATAACTATTAACGAGGTTGTTTTATTGGCTAAAATTAACGTACTATGATTGGCTAAATTATTTGTAAGCAGAATCCTAAATCGACATCAAGCTCGGCTAGTTATATTTCCGATATAGGTGATATTCTCAATATTAATTCACACAAGTCACTGCATGTCGTTTTCATCATCTAACACACACAACAAGAGTTGCACGTTCCGAGGCCTAAATGTATATCAACGCAGGGTGGTGAGCCGTACTGAACCGACCCAACTCTCTCGTCGAACGTCTACCCTGCACTCTACACTAACTGTGACTTAACTGACTGTCTCGTAAAGTTGCTTTCTTGCGTAATCATGCGAAATGGAGTGCGCCCGCTGCGACCGAGTTAAATACAATTCGGGCAGCAACCACCTCTGTGATTGCTCATATAGCCAAAGGGAATACTTTCATATACTTTTAAGTGTATATCAGGCTGGTGACATGGTCATTTTCCCAATAAGGAGTGACCTCACTCCATAAAATGTGTCCTCGCTCAAAAGTATCCACGGCTGGTGACATACCCATGGCTACAGACACACTAACTGCAAAAACTCCCATTGTGTGTCAAAAACTTGTTGCAAGTTTGAAAGTCGAATGAATTACAAAGAGTTTGCCAGACAACTTGGTAAATATTTTACTAGAATGTTACTAAATCAACTTAGTTTTCAAAAACATTTTTTTTCTAGGAGCTGGATGATTGGATACGTGGATCAGGTGACCATGGTATTGTTGTATTTTCTATGGGTTCGCAAATTAGAGACTTGGGACGTAACTTGACTGTGGACATAGCCTCCGCCCTATCACGTTTACCACAAAGAATTGTATGGCGACATGACGGAGAGACACCCAAAACTGTCGGCAGTAATACCAAGATCGTCAAAAAATGGATACCACAAAATGATTTACTTGGTAGGTATGAGCATGTTAATAATGATGACGTAATGTTATGTCTACAAAACTTACTGGATAAAGAAAGAGTTTAAAATGTCATGATTTTCACCTGACCACTTAGAGCAAGGTGTCACATACGACTGTCACAAATGTCGGCAGCAATACCAAGACTGTCAAAAAATGGATGCCACAAAACGATGTACTTGGTAAGTATGAGCAACAGTCATAATATCGGTTCCAGTTTCTCGCCTTGCGTTACCATAATTTCGGGGATTCACATAAGCCACTTCGATAAACTTGACAATGTACTTGCTGACAGTAGTGTCGGAAATGTAAAAATAAACAATACTATTGCCCACGGTAACTGTTAGAAAGTCGTTGATTACTGTACATTTACAGTTTTTTTAGTCTTAATGTTTTATTTCTAATAATTTTTTACAATAACAACAACAACAAGAAATGTACATCACATTAAAATGTCACAATAACAAAAGATACAGCGTACAAAACACAATAAACAAATTAATATATAATGTACAAGAATTTTTTTAAATATTAATCAATACGGTGCTGTAGCGGGTCCCTTTTTATGAATAAAATTATTTTCACTTAAAATATGTTTTTCAGTACTTATTTTCTTCTTTACATTTCTAATAACATGGGTTAAAGACGGGGTTGCATTTGTATAACGAATTGTGTATAGAAAATATTTACCTAACAAAACTTATTCTGGTAAAGGTAGTTATTTGTAGCAACAATTCGGTGCAATATTTTAAACTGGAAAACTCTCAATTTTTCTTTTATCGTGGTCGCATATAGAACATATTTCCAGCCTACCTCACCTTGGCTCTCACAATCACTCTCATTCCATTTCAAGATTGACGTTTTGTTACCATGCCATTATAGTCTAGTGGGATTTCATGGAAATGTGCATGTTAGGGGCATTTTGGGGTAAAAGTCGGGAACCAGACTTTTTAGCATAATTCGGTTGTGCTGAATCCGATAAGCCCGGTTTCCAAGCGAAATTTAAGTTTTTTAAAGGTCTAATTTGCATAAAAAATGGCCGCCAATTTGTCAATTTTCTGCCATATCTAGCTAACCAGGCAAGCAATCATGACATATAAAGAGCCCGTACCTATGTTTTAAGGTTCAAGAAATATGATGAAAGCATTTTTGATATAACCTACATAACACTATACTCATAAATATGCAAATTTGCTGCCGCCATCACTGAAAAATCTTTCTTCTATATCTCTGTAACTAAATAAGCAAACACGTCAAATGAAGTGTCTCAGGATCAGGGAATATGTTAAAGATATCTATAGAGCAAATAAATAAGTAATAAGTGCTCAGGCTAAGTAAAGGAGGATTTAGTAACTCAGAAGTTCAACCCTTGTATAATCCAAGTTTGAAAAGGGGATTTCCCAGATGCAATTTCTGCGAAGAGATTCACTGAATCAGGTTTCTCACCTGATGCACTATGATTAGCTGTGACATATTATTGACGTGTTACCTTCAGTACCTTTCCATTAGCTTTACAGTTGTTACTCATTGGTTTTGATGTTGAGTTGAATTAGCCAGATTTTCACAAATCGATTAGTACTCGAGACGCAGACAGAGGTTATCCAGTTCTATTTTTTTAGTAATCTGAGGTATAGTATCACTTCTCTTTTCCTATATATTGTAGCGGCCTATTCAACCTTCCAATAACCCCGAAAAGTACCTCAGTCTTGAGAGCGCCAGTCTAGGTGCCCGCAGGACTGAGTTACTAGGCATGTTGACCTTTGACCCTGTTACTAATTGTTACTTTTGTATTTGCAGGTTATGATGGATCAGTAGTTAGCTTAAAAAGACCTTCAGTTGTAGATGTGTGTGTATATTCTGTGAAACTGATACAACAGGCATTGTTCTTAGTAAAGCAAGTGACCATGGACTCGCAATAGTCAAGCAAGCCACTAGTAGTAGACAAAAGCTTCGGGACTCGAAAACATCGATTTGATCGACCGTCTTGAGAATGTCTTAGATACTGCCGACGCTCAAAATCTTGTGTGACACAAAATATGCTATGCCCATTTCACGGACAAAAGTAAGATACAACGTTTCCATCAGACGCAGACAGTGAATTCAAAATCAGAAGCAAGTTGCAGCAAGGTTCATTGCCCACAGACGCGTTCATCATGAAGGAGTGTGCAACCCGTGAATTGGACCTTGTGTATTTTTTGTCAAAGTGTTCGGTTGAAGACTCGTTTGATCTCGGTGATGACGAAACAAATGAGTGACCAGATAATGGAAGCCTCTTCAGCTGGCATTCAACTGGCTGGAGTGATCGATTTAATTGCAGCTGAAGAAAAATACTACCTAGCATGTCTTAGTGCATTTACAAGATCTACCACCAAAACGAAACAGGAGACAAACAAGACAGACCTTGCTATGCTATGGCTTTGCAAAGTGTTGCATCAGTCGGCAGATAAATGACACGTTATCCAGTTGAATGATGTCTGGGAAAGGTATACGGAGCTAGCTGAAGAATTGTCTATTGCCATCCAGCCGTCTTACTATAGTAGAAGAACAACATTCAAAGAAAAGTTGCAGTCACAACTGGATGACATTTTCAACTTCATCCAGCCTCATGACAAGAACCCATCTGAGAGAGAAACCATCTTGGTTCCAACAAAATTGCAGCATCGGGCCATTTTGCAAATGAATTAAGATAAGGAAGCTAAAAATATGTACCTTAGGTCGACATCTTTCACTCACTCGTACATGTGGCCTTGAAAATCCGTGGAAACATGATGGAAACTCCAGGTCACAAAGGTTTCTCTATAAGTGAGGATGAAGCAATTCCGTGCATACCAAACAGTTTAAATATGCTATTGAAATTAATCTTCGGTGGACAAGAGATAATCAGTCTAGAAGATGGTGGTTCTGAAAACAGCGAAGAACTTGGTCGAAGCTTGGTACTGAGTGTAGCGCAGGATCTAGCTTATTGTGTCAGTGGTGGGAGAAAATAGACCCCAAAACATATTGGTCTAGCAAATACATTGCACCAAGCCACACGGTCGAAGGATCTGGTGGGGTTGTTTCACAAGGCTGGTCACTGTCTGAGTTATGAACAGGTGTTACAAGTAGACCCGTTATTGGCTGAACATATCCTTAACTCCATGGACCTGGCAACGGGGGCTGTAATTCCATCGAACATTGTAGCAAACAAGTTCATCCACTACACCATGGATAACATCGACATTCTAGATGAGACCCTTGATGGAAAAAATACATTCCATGCGACACAAATGGCAGTATGACAACAAAGCCAAACCCCTGATGTCGACCCTAAGATGCTGAAGCCATCAACCAGACATTCATTGGTTGTACCAGATGTCCTTCAAAAGCTGTATCAAACCAGCATAAACTCTACAACAAGTGAGCCAGTATTCACAGACCCTGTTGACAAGACCTGGTTTATGAAAGCTGTAGACAGTGAATGCGTAAAGCAAGCCAAAGCAATGAACATGGTTTTTTTTCTGTGACGTCAAGATTCCAACATAATTCCGTCTTGGACAGTATTTAATGAGTCAGTCACTGCAGTAGGATATTTGCCTAAAATCTATGCTCCAGCTCCTGAGTTAGATACACTTAATACAGTTGTTAGGAGGTGCATGGCAATATCTGCACATTTTGATCAGGAGCATACAGTCCTAACAGTAGATCAAGCATTATTCTGCAAACTCATGGAACTGAAATGGTGTGTTGAGTAATACCAGGATAAACTTTATCCTCGACTTGGTGGACAATGAACTTCAGATCAGATCTGGATTAGCTGAAGTGTGGCTGGAAAGTAGTATACTAGGGAAGGGTGCCATACAGCTTGTCATGTCAGGAAAGGCATACAACAAGGCAATGAAAGCTCACAAGCTTACTAAGCAAACTGTGGAGGGTTCTTTTGCCAGCATTTCTTTCATTTGCTGAAGAATTGGACAAGAATTGTTTCGATGCTGTAGCTGCAATGGTCGCTGATGAAGATATAGACAACATTCCAGAATTAATAGCAACACTAAATTCTGAAGGGTTTCAAAAGCTTCTAGAGAATTTTGTTGAGAGTAAATCAAATGATGTGAACTTCATCTTCTGGTGGGACTACATGAACATGGTGACCATAATCTTGTAGTTTACTCATGCACAACAGGAAGGAATCTGGGACCTCCACCTCCACTCCTTTAGTCTGATGTTACCATACTTCATGCATTATGACCACATGGACTACACAAGATGGGGTCCGGTGTATATGACAGAGATGCATAAACTTCCAGAACCTGTGTTATCGGAGTTCCAAAGGGGCAATCTCGTTGTCAAACGTTCACCTGAAAAGTTCAATCAAGTAGATCCCGACCAAGCCATGGAATGAATAAATAGTACTGGAAAGAAAGGAGGTGGAATCATTGGTATTACAAAAACAATATCGGTACTTTGTAGATGGACTTTTTCATACAAACTGAGGTCTCAAATCACAACAGAAACGCATGCAATATACAACCATGGTCCTGGCAGTAAACGTGTTCATAAGGAAGTTACCAAATCACAACAGAAGCGGGATAATAATGACGAGGATTCGTTGCTTTCTGTCTTCCAGGGATTCAATGTGATTGCATCACGTTGTCCTGACTCATTGCAAAATCTGGCAACAAAGAATCTGACAAAAGAGGCTATCCAGAACACGTTACCTTGTGCCAGAGATCTTGGACAGGAAGAAGTGAACACATTTGTCGAGGAGAGGATGATTGTACCAGACCAAGATGGCAAGCTCGATGTCCAAATCCATTCACAAAAAAACGTTTTCATCGCTCTATGAGGTGGTTAAAGACTCTCAAGACAAAGACAAGATAATATCCTAAAGGTGGATAGAAACATCCTCAAACGCCTTGTTACCGCGTTGAGATCTACAAATAAAAGTGCACCAGGTTGCCCACCGTCTTCACAATAGTCAATAATATTACAAATGAGTCTAATGTTATCGAAAATATGTCTTCCTTTAATAAAAGCAGACTGATTTTCGTGGACAATGGAGGGCAAAATGTCTTCAAGACGCTTGGCTATACACCGACTTGCTATTTTGTAATCAGTGTTGAGTAATGATACAGGTCTCCAATTACGAAGTTCCAAAATATTTTTATCTGGCTTTGGTAATGAAGTTATAACTGCCTGCCTCTGAGTGTTCGACATCAGTCCATGCATATAACTATAATTTAAAGAGGCCACAAGAGCATCTCCAATCTGATCCCAAAATGTAAAGTAAAATTCATGGGGCAACCCATCACTACCAGGAGATTTATTTAGCGGAGATTTGTTCAAGGCAGAAAAAAAAAATCATTTTTAGTTAAACTCCCTTCGCAAGCATTGATCTTCATTTACAAGTTATACTACTTCCGGTTTACACAATC